TAATTTATAATTATATATATATATAAATAATCTGGCACTCCCAAAAAAAAATTTCAAGTTCCACCACTGAAAATGAGTGAATATTGAGTCACATGGTATTATTCATGAAGTTATTCTACCCTAAGCTCCTCAATCCAATGGAATTGTTGAAAGAAAAAATTGTACTTTGTTAGGCATGATAATTTTGTTTTACTTATAAGTTTTGGTTTGCTTGATAAATTGTGAGGGAAAGCTTTATTTACTATATGTCATATTTTGAATACAATTCCTTATAAAAATAATATGATAAAATCCCTTATGAACTTATGAAAAATAAAAAATCAAATTTGAAATATCTCAAAGTGCAAGGATATGTCTTACAAAGGTGAATACTCCTCTTAATAAGAAAAGGAAAATTGGTCTCAATACTATTGATTGTGTTTTTCTTGGATATTATTTGCATATTACTACTTATACATTTTTAGTTATTAATTATAAAGTTACTAAAATTTCTAATAATACAATTATGAAATATATAGATGTTGTTTTCTATGAAAATGTTTTTCCTTTGAAGAATAAATTATCTAAACTTGTTTGTGATGCTCCTAGTTCGGTTTTACCTTCTAGTATTAATGTTAATAAGGATTTTGAACCTAAGAAAAGCAAAATACTTAGAAAATCTAAAGTTTTTGGTTTTTATTATTTTATTTTTACTTGAAGATGATCCTAAAATTTATAGTGATGCTTGAGTTTTGTTGATGCACCTTTTTTGAAAGAAGTCAATAATGATAAAATGGATTCTCTTAAAGTCAATAAAAGTGATTTTTGATTGACCTTCCTCTTGATTGTAAAAGTATAGGTAGTAAATGTGTTTTTTGAAAAAAATTAAGAACAGGTGGATCTAAGTTAAGTTTAAGGCAAGATTTATTGTTATTGGTTATAAACAAATAAAAGTGTAAGTTTCTTTGATACATATTCTCCTATTTCTAAAGTTACTACTATTAAAGTTTTAATTGTTCTTGCTTGTGTTTTTAATTTGAAAATTCATCAAATGAATGTAAAAATTACTTTCTTAAATAGTGAATTGGAAGAAGAAATTTACATGAATTAACTTAAAGATTTTATAAAACTTGGAATAGAAAAGAAAGCTTGCAAACTTGTTAAATTTTTGTATGGTTTAAAACAAACATATAAACAATGGCATGATAAATTTTTGCAACATCATGGCTTACATTCTCTATATATACTAGTGTGTGAAGAAACTTTAAAATTTAACACACAACAAATCACTCATCTGACTTCAAAAATATTTCTACCATTAAATATTTTGGAGTAGTATTCTCTACATATTTTGAGGTGGTATTTTTTGGTTATGGATTCGTTGCACATAAACAAGTAGATGTATCTTGAAAGATGAGCACACTATAAATTTCTAAATTACTAGAGTAATTGAGACTTTTCCTCTCTAAAAATAATGTTTTACGTGTTTTAATCCAGACTATTTTAAATTTATTATTTCTAAATTTAATTTACTCTATATGTTTAATTGGTTGTAGTTGATTGCTTTGTTTTTAAATTTAAAATATTTATATTATTGATATTGACTTTCTTAATAAATATAATTTTCTATTTATTTGTATTTTTTATTTCCAACAAATTCAGGACTTCCCGATTTAATTAGGACCATAGTTTTTCAATTTCTATCAAGATAAATAGAAGGAAGTTTTCCCATCATTGACTCAAAGTTATTGTCAAACTAAATTTTACTGAGTGGAATATGGAGGCACTTATGATAAAACAAGCCAAGCTAAACTTTTACCATAAAGTGATTGGTGGAATTACCATTAAATGACTTATTAGTAAATTAATAAATTACTTCAGAACAGGATATACATCACATATCCAGTCCATGGGTGGCTAGTCTAAGATTCTAAACAACAAAGCTTGATTTTGAAAAAAAATATTATCATTATGTGAATGTACATAGGGAAGAACAAAGCTGTTTGGGGTGGTAGTTTTTGTATTGATGAAATTATTCTCTAGGGACACGATAGAACACGTGCGAACACCGTAAAATGAAAAAATTAAATTCAATGAGGATTTAATTCATCCTAGAAAAAACTTGTCATGTATCAAACAGTCCTTAAATCAATTACCATTTATTAGTATTTAAGGTAATACATTTATGGTACATTATTATTAAATATTATTATGGTACAGTCATAATAATAATAATAATAATAATAATTATTATTATTATTATTATACATTTTTATGGTAAATTATTATTAAATCAACATAATAAACCATAAAATTATCATAATTATAAAAAAAAACTGTTTCTTATTTAATAAATTTAATCAAAATATTTTAAATATTTAATTTATAAATATAATCAAAATATATTTATTATAATCACCTTAAGTACAATAATAAATATAGTTATATATTTTTATGTGTTATAAAACTGATAAATTTAGACAAAAAAGCAAATATTTCGATGTCATGTGATAATTTTTTTTAATAATAATAATAAGGTTTAAATATGTATTTAGTCAAATAAAATTAACGAGTTTTGATTTTGATTAATTTATAAATTTTTTAAAATTTTTGATCCTTATAATTTTTTTGTATTTTTAGTTCTTGTAAAATATTTTTTATCGTATTAAAATGCATAAATTTTGATTTTAATTCCTATAATTTTTTCATTTATATAAAATATAAAAATTATTATATTTTTTTTCTTAAGGATGGCTTTAAAATATATAAATAATATTTATTTTTAAAATTTATAATTTTTTAGAGTTATCACACATTGACATTAGTTGTAAGTAACATATAAGAGGGTCATTTAACATAGTTAAAAATGATTACATAATAATAGAGGCTAGAAAAAATATTTTTAAATTTTAGAGGTGAAAAAAAAAATCACATGCCAAAGTCAAAACTTGATCATTTTGTAGAAGCTGAAAATATATTTAAACCCAATAATATTATTTTTGTGTATACAAATAATCTCTATATATTAAATACAATTTTTTTTCTTAAATACAATTAATCTCTATACAAGGATTATATATTAATCTCGATGAGATGACTTTTAGGAATTTTTTAAAATTTTTCTGACGCCTATCGCTAGTTTGGAAGCTATATTAAAATTGAGAGAGTAAGACTAGAAAGGGTTGTGCTTGCGACTTACCTAAGAAGTAAGAAGGGTCGGGTTCTAACTTCTGAGCGCACAGCATCATCAATAATTTCTCAAACAGCGTCCTAAAAGGTAATTCTAAGTCGATCTATCATTCTTTTATTCGGATTTCTTTTCTCAATTCTTTTATCATTGTTTTTGTCAATCTAATACTTCCTTCGATCGGATTTCGTTCGCAATTTTCGATTCCAATTGTTTCAATTCCGAGTCGGTTTTCGCTACGTTTGAGTTTTCTTCGAATTAAGAGATCGCCCTGGGTTTCTTACGATTCTGTATTGAATTTAATTAATAATTTATAGGCAAGTGTTGCCGTAGGACGAAATTCACACATTGGAACGGGTTTCACTTCCTGTATCAATGGTGTTTATGTGAATTGCGAGAGTGTACGTAGCAGAATGTTGGATTTCAATTCTCAATGACAAGTAGTTTAGCTGAACTACGTAGCATCCCAAACCCTAAATCGTAGCTTTTAAATTTGATTAAATAGCAAATATGATGTCATCTGCTTTGATCCTTTTATTTTGTTAAATTTTCTACAGTGTAGAAATTTTATTTGGACGCAGTATCTGTACTAATTGTGATGTCTTGGGTGGGAATGGGTCAGCATTGAGGTATACTGAATTTGAGACTAAACCATTTGGGAATTTTGCGAGTTATTGTATAGGTGGCTTTTGGGAGGATTTCGGTACCAGTTGTTTAATTTTAATTTCTTTTTCCCTTTGTTTTTGTGTGTGAAGCGTCCTACTTGTTAAAGACTCAACTCAACTTAGGTCAGAGTTCGTGAGTGTTTGGTCCATCATGTTTATGTCTGACCAACCATCCCTTTGAAATTACCTGTTTCTAACCACAGCACAATGGTTCTGGATAATTGATTTAAGAATTCAACTGCATGATTTAATTTATATTCTTTCTACCCAAAATCATTCAATCCTGGTTTTGTTTACAGAAACACATTAGAGTAAGCAGATAATTATGGCTGTACATTCTGATTCGGCTTCATCAGGGAAGAAATCAAGCAATGGACTGAATGAGTTGCTGACTTTTAATGCTGAGAATATGCAAAGCAATATGAAAATTATCTATTACAGGTTTGGTTTGATTGTTAATGGTATTTTGAATATATAAATATAACTAGAAACATTATATTTGGGGTGGACCATGGAACATGAGGGTTTTTTCTCCCCTTTCTTTCTTTACCTGATTATGGATCAATGTGGGTTCACAAGCTGTTTGGGGTGGTAGTTTTTGTATTGATGAAATTGTTTGGTTCTATCTTCGTGAAATAGTCATCTGAGTTCATGATATGTAGCTGTAAAGCACTCTTACAGTAAAGGAGAAAAAAGGGTGGGATAGGGGTGGGGGATGAAAAGAAACACCTGTTTAGTGTTGTAAAAGTCTCTAAGGTTTACAATTGAATATTCATTTTTGTCTCTTTTGCAGTCGAACATTTTTATCTATAATTGGTGGAGTTGTTGCTGGCATTTTGGGATTTACAGGCTTGAAAGGATTTGTGTTTTACTTACTTCTCATGGCACTTACTTCACTTGGGCTTGTGGCCAAAGCAGGATTTTCAACCCACACATACTTTGATTCCTGGAACCGAGTGCTACTTGATGGCTTTCTGGGTGGCCTAATGGTAGGTTGTTTATGTTCATTTCATCTTTCTTTGGGCATGGTGTGTTTTGGAAACTTCTTTATTTTTCATGAAAGAAGAAACTAGTTTGTATAAGATGGGTAGAGAAATACACAAATAGAGAATAAATAACATATGAAATGCACATCAGCAATATAGCATTAGCCAAATTTATGAAGCATTCACTGAAGATCCCCAGTTAATGGGGAGAATTGCCATGTGCTAAACAATAAGGATCAATGCATGTCTAAGTCAGATGTTTTCCCTTAAAGGACAGGCATTCTATTCCAGCCAAAGACATCAAGAAATAGATACAAAGTGTACTACCAGAACAATTTAGCCTCCTAATACTCCAGCCAAACATCTGAACATAATTGAATTACAAAAAAAAATGCTTCAACTATTAAAGGTGTTTACACTTACCACTCACCAAAGATACTAAATAGTCTACTCCAAATGTAATTAGTTGCTCAGCAATATGAAAAAAAAAAGGAAAAGAAAAGAAAGAATAACAGCAAAATTTTCTAAATTAGAGGTTCACGGGACATACTTATTTGAAGATAAAAACTTTGTTAGGATGTGTATCAGTAACATACCATTAAAATTAATATTGCTGAGCAATGTACTGTCCAAGTAAATGAAGATTCCGTGGAATTTTGGAAATTTCAAGGGCTTTTTCAGCCTTGTAGGAAATTTTCTCGATTTGGACTCGGAAAAGCATTAAGAAAATAAAAAAATGACTCCTGATTCCCAAATCAAACGCTAATCTAATCAAGGGTCCAAATCCTCTTCTCTATGTTTTTGTATATACTTCATCGTCAGCATAGTACATTGGAAAATATATTCATTAGGGGGGGAAGAATTAATTTGCTAATTATGTTATTGGTGCCCCTTAAAATATGCCAATTTCTGCATATATTTCTAGTCTGAGTTCTACCTGTGTTTGGTGCTTAAAGTTTTAATCAACATTAAAATATTTGTTAAATATAAAGAGAAGGTTAAAAGGAGGATTTTTCTCTGGCCAATGAGGGAGGGATACACAAGGGGGTTTATACCGAGCTCCTTTAGGTTTTGATGAAACTACATGCAAGATAAGGCTTTTATGTTATATTGAAATCTTAGGGGGGTCTATATAGTCTTCCTGGCCTTACTTGACCAGTTCAACATACATTATATTTTGATCGTAATATAATGTTGGGGTTTGTGTTCTCTTTCTCTGTATGTGTGTAGCACTCTTTGAATGTTTACGTGTTCAGCATTATAACTTCTTTTTTATACTTGTGCAGTCGTTCGTGCTGTTCTGGACGTATCCTTCTCTCTAACAATACTTTGGTGGTGGAATATGACTGAAAGTTTATTTAACTCAATACTATAAAATCTGTTGAAAATGGAGTACTTGTTTGTCCAACACAACACTGTTTCACGTAAGAGTAGTGGGGTTAGCTTTTCTAAATTGAACCAGGCTTAATTTTTAACTTACAAAGTACAAATTTGTTTTGGAGTGGGTGGGGATTTGAGTGGATTTCCTAATTTCGAGTTTTAGTAACAGGAATAACTTCCAAATGTTTTGAGTAAAATATTTGAACTTTTCAGATGTTGTGCTATGGTTGTCTAAACGCTGGTTGCCCCAGATTATGGCATCCAGCTAAAACAACCTAACAAAATGTAACTTCCGGTTTACATCTCTTGTGCTGAAATTTTTGCTACTATGCTGTATTTCTTTGACAAAATAAAGATTTGCCTATGACATTGTTCATATATTTTGATGGACGGAATGTGCAAATGTTTCAAGAGAAGACTATTTTGGCATCCGTTGCTGCTATTGATCCTTGCCTGACTGCAGCACCAGTTACCAGAGATAGCATTCATGATGTTCCCGTTTTTAAACTGAGATTTACTACCAGACTATTGTCTGTTTATGTATTATTTAAAATAGCAGATTGGGAAGGAGGCATTGTGTCGTCATTGATATGGCTGTCAGATTGGCCTCTAGGATATTCTTCTTCAATTTTGCTTCTTGATATAGATTGCAATTTTGTCAAACTTTATTTTATAGGCTTAATATACTTTTAGTCTTTTAGTCCTTCAATTCTAACTAATATGTGAATTTAATTCAGTAAATTTAATCTCTTATCTTTAATTTTTATAAATCATGTTGTAGGTTGAACATCATGTTTGCTTGGTAGTGATTATTATTCTGTCGCGATCCTGCGTCGTGAAAAAATGGATAGACATCATTAATAGTTTGATTGGCTCAAAGCTTCGACCGTGGCATATATTAGGACCAAAATATAAGTGATGCTATCTTGGAGGATAACCCATTTTACATAGAAATAATTACAGTATAATTTTGGCTAATTGTTTTGATATCTTTATTTTTATCGATTTGTAATTTTAGTCTCTATTTTAAAATTGAAAATTTTAGTTTTTTTTTAATTTTAAAAATACAGGATTTTGATTATTTTTAGTTAATTTGATATTTATTAATTGTTAGATTTTAATGTTTACTTATATTATATTTAAGTGATGTGATATTTTATAAAATTTAAAAATAAAATTTTAAAAAATATGTAAATAAAATTTTTATTAATAAAATAAATATTAATTTCTTATAAAAATAAATATAAATTGATAATAGAACTAAAATTTCATATATTTTTTTAAATAAAAAAATTAAACATTTCTATTTTAAAATATAAATATTAAAATTATGGATCGATAAAAGCAGATGGACAAAAAGTGAAATTCAACCTATAATTTTTAAGGGTATTTTGACGAATGGCTAGCATTATGTAAATATTACCCCCAATAAGGTGCGGCTTAATTTGGAAGCAAGGTATGCAGTAAATGTAATGTTTTAGGATATATTTAACAATCAGTTAAGTTGAACTGAATTTTACGCTCACAAACTTTTCTTTTTCTACATTGAAACATATTTTTTTTTTATTAAAAATTTTAAATTGATATCCAAATATACACTTGGGCTTGTTTATATCTGCTTGATTACTTTCCCGAACAATAAATACCTGGTTTACTAAAATTCAGAAGCATTTCTTGCAATAAAAAATAATTAAAAAAAGGAGTCAGTTTTATGCCATGAAAAGCCAAATACCTCGTTATTACAAAAGCGCTAGCAGTAATTAAAAAATTTACACAGTTTTTATTTTATTTTTGTGAGTTATTTGTCTATGTGGAGTTAATGCTGAAATAATGTTGATTCTGTTGAAGACGATACTTGGCTAAAAGCAGTAGGTGTTTTAATTCCCAAACCTGAGAAATTGACGAGTATCAAATATATGTGCGACGCATACAAAAGGAAAGGGTGGAATTAGTGATAAGGTGAACCAAATCTCATTTCCAAAAGGAACCAAATCTCATTTCATATCCTGCCACTGCCAGCCCATATGGACTGCACGGACACCTACTAGTCCAAATAAACACATAATATTATAACTATTATTTTTCAATTCAAATTTATATTTTATTTTAATAATGGTTTTTTTATTTTGATAGTGATTCATCCAGATCAAACAAAAATCAACACCAATTGTATCTAAGCTAACCGTCTATTTCATAGTTTAAAAGGTCCCCTGTTCGGCTATTCCATAAACTTCATTTTCATATAATTTTTTCCCCCAACTTTGAAGAACTGATTTATGCCATAAAGTAATTGCCTTATCTTAAAAATACAAGTTTATTTTCCTGTAATAAGTGTAAGTTCTATGATTTTCTAATACATCAATTATAGAAAATTAAAGGATCTTTGAAATTCATGATACTCACATAATAATAATAATAAAAAGTGTACCTATCTCCATAGTAGAAAACTCTTTTGATATTTAGAGTGCTTTGATTTTTTTGAGAAGAGAACCAAGATTTCACTCCCTTTGACTTTTCTTTCTACTCTCTCTATCTTTCGTGATGACTAGGGTTTGAGAGAATACTTTCTGTCAGGGGCACGTTCATTTTTATAATTTCTGCAATTCCATGGATTATACCTATTTGAATAAAGATCTCGGCGATTTCCATTCGTTAATACGTAAAGTCCAATAAGCATATCTTGAGTTGGTACAGAAATTGGATCCCCAATAGCCGGAGACAAAAGGTTCGTATGAGAAAACATAAGTAAACGAGCTTCTGCTTGAGCTTCTAAAGATAAGGGCACATGAACAGCCATTTGATCCCCATCAAAGTCTGCATTAAATCCCTTACAAACTAATGGATGCAAACAAATAGCACGCCCTTCTACTAAAATGGGTTGGAATGCCTGTATACCTAATCTATGCAGAGTAGGTGCTCTATTCAGCAATACGGGATGTCCCTGCATAACTTCTTGAAGTACTTCCCATACAATCGGTTCTTTTTCTCGAATTTTATTCTTAGCAATTCCTATGTTCGAAGCAAAATGTTTTCGAATTAGACCACGAATTAGAAATGTCTGGAAAAGTTCGATTGCTATTTCGCGGGGTAATCCACATCGATGTAATGAAAGTGATGGACCTACGACAATGACAGAACGCCCCGAATAATCAACTCGTTTCCCAAGCAGAGTTTCGCGAAATCTTCCCTCTTTACCCTCAATTATATCAGAAAAAGATTTGTAAACCTTATTATGACCGTCCCTTATCGGTTGTCCGCGGATTCCATTATCCAGAAGTGTATCCACGGCTTCTTGTACCAATTTTTCCTGACACATTACTAATTCTCCTGGCGTAGATCTACTTGTTGTTAATAGATCAATAAGAGTATTATTCCGATAGAGAACTCTTCTATATAGCTCATTAATATCCGAACTCATTAGTTTACCCCCATCTATTTGAATAATCGGTCTCAATTCAGGAGGAAGAACTGGTAAGAGACATAAAACCATCCATTCTGGTTCTATATTTGTTCGGATAAAATGCTTAGCTAATTCTATGCGTCGAACCAAAAAATTCTTTCTTCTTCCAACTTTTCGATTTTCCCATTCGTTTTCATTGTCCGTAGATCCCTCTTCCCCTAATTCTTTCCACTCTATCAATGAAGAATCAATAAGAATTCTCAAATCTAGATCGGCTAATTGTTCTCGGATAGCACCAGCTCCACTTGAAATTTCTCGATTTCGAAATATATCAAAACCTTGGGTAGTAAAAAAAAGTGGTATGCTGTGTTTCCAAGATTGGATTTCATATTCGAATGAACCCCGTAATCGTAAGAAAGTGGGTTTTTTAAATACGGGTCTAGCAAACGAAAAATTTAGATAGGATCCAATCCAATAAGATCTCCCCTTTTCAAAATCGGACGTGAAGGTTTCCTCTCATCCGGCTCAAGTAGTTATACCAAATAAAAAAAAAGCAAAGGGTTTTCACTTTCAAATTATATAAAACCTCTAATCTAAAATAAAAGGTTTACTCTTTACTCAAGTTCTCACTAAATATCAATCAACATTTCATTGACGCATTCTTTTTTTTTTTTTTAGATTTTTTTAATTCCGAAGAGCAAAGGGATTTGCAATTTTTACTTCAACTTCCTAGGCGCTTGCCGACTAAGGCTTTAATAAACGTAGTTGAGTCTTCCCGATGGGAGAATGATTTGATAGGTATGTAACTTTCCTATTTCGGCCTTTAAGTAAATTCCTATTGATGTTTACTTGGTTATTGGTGCAGGAATCATGGTGACAAGTGGTGCCGATGAGTTCAACATCCGCAATCTTTTGGCTGGCCGGATGCAACAGGCTAGGGCTTCGGGGGTTATGGGCAGTTCGGCGCTTGCCCAAACGCCTCGTCCAGAACAAGATGACTGAACTCCGCCTATCCCGGAACGAAAACGCCAAAAGGTGAGGAAGGGGAAGGAGGTTATTCAGGAGGGGCTGAAGCGAAAAAGTAATGAGGAGAGGCCGGAAAAGACCAAGAAATCCAAGCAGTCAGTGTCCTCTCCGGGTGGGACAATTATTTGTGTGCCCCCCATGCTAATGTCTAGGGCCTTTCTGAGTGAAGAAGTCACTGCCGAGTCATTGGTTCGACCAAACACAGTCTCGGATCATGGCCACGAGGTCTTAGGCCAGTTTGTTCTACAATAGGTTCATTATGAATCATGAGTTCATTATTATGTTGCTCTTCTTCATTGTTGTTTAACTCAACAGTTAGAGGAACACTTACTTTATTGCTAGAGGCATAAGTCAAAGAAACTTGCATTCTAACTTCTTTGACTTCCACTTTCTGTGGAATTGTACTCCCACTAACTTCACCATTTTCAATGAACCTTGTATTTCCAGTTTCAACAATTTTCATATTATGATTAGGACAATAAAACATATACCCTTTCTTAGGCCAGTTGGATACCATGGCCAAATGGAAATATTTTTGTGAGGTACAGTCTCGGTCGCTGGCACTCGTGCATCACCTCGCTATGGAGCCAATCGGCGAGTTGATTCAATTGAGACAAAGGGTTGAGGATGCCGAGAAGGCCACAACCGAGGCCATGGCGGCTGTCGAGGAGGCATCAGCGAAAAGTCGCCAACTTGCAGCCGAGGTTGACGTGCAGCGGCGCAACAATGATACTCTTCGGTTGGACATGCAAAAAGCCGCGAACGAAGAAAAGCACCGAATGGAGGAAGCTAAGGCGGAACTAGAGCGGGTGAAAGAGCAAGCCAAGGAGCGTATTGTTGCCCAGCATGAAGCTGGGTTTCGCCATGCTCTTCGGCAAGCACAACACTTCGGTCGCTTTAGGGAGGGCTTTGAATTTGACATGTCGAAAGATTCCAACTGGCCTAAGAACTCGTGGCCATGATCCGAGACTGTGTTTGGTCGAACCAATGACTCGGCAGTGACTTCTTCACTCAGAAAGGCCCTAGACATTAGCATGGGGGGCACACAAATAATTGTCCCACCCGGAGAGGACACTGACTGCTTGGATTTCTTGGTCTTTTCCGGCCTCTCCTCATTACTTTTTCGCTTCAGCCCCTCCTGAATAACCTCCTTCCCCTTCCTCACCTTTTGGCGTTTTCGTTCCGGGATAGGCGGAGTTCAGTCATCTTGTTCTGGACGAGGCGTTTGGGCAAGCGCCGAACTGCCCATAACCCCCGAAGCCCTAGCCTGTTGCATCCGGCCAGCCAAA